CATATGTCCCTTTCTACCGCAATATAGGCATAACCCCTCCCTTCTCCTATACTGTTTTTCGGCCTCTGACAGTCTAGTGACCCCCAACTGCATAGGTTTGGGTTCGGACTGTACAGGGAGGTTAGACAAAACAGGTTTAGAGAATTGAGGTGCTAGGGACATAGCCGTACGTCTGGTCTTGCTTCTGGTGACTTCTCTGAGTCTTAACCTATTATCAATATGCATGACAAACGTAATAAATTAATTAAGACTCTTAGGTAATTCTTTAGCGGCTATCTCATCTAGTATAGTCTCTGAGAGACCCTTTTTGAATGCTGAGATTAACCCATTGTTAGTCCAGTCTACCTCGGAAGCTAAGGTACGGAATTCAATAGCATAATCCGAGATAGACCGGTTACCTTGTCTGATGTGCATTAGGGCAGTGGAGGCGTCATCCTCTCTACCCAATGGCTCAAACGTGAGCTTGAATTCGGCAAGGAATTCCTGGTAATTATGAGCTATGCTCCGATTACTCTCCCACAACGGATTAGCCCAGGCAAGGGCCTTGCCCTTTAATTGATTCATTAGATAACCAATTCTTGCTCTGTCCATGGGGAATGAACCTGGTGAGACCTCAAAATGGTACTCCACCTGATTAAGAAAACCCCTGCATTCCTGGATATTGCCATCAAACTGTAGGGATGGTGATAAGGAGATGCTAGGAGTCCTATTAACAGTGGGTGGATGTACACAGGGTAGAGGTGCTATAGGAGGAGACGCTGCAGGCTGCAGATGCTCCGTTCTAGCGAGAAGCGTACTTAAAGCCTGAGTGAATTGATCCATGCGGTGATCATTCTCCTCTAATTTCCTCTCGCAAGCAGCTATGTGCTGACACAGTTCTACAGGATCTATGGCCCTGTCGTAATGTCAGGATTACTGTTTGATCCAGCACGTAGAACTGTACAGCACGGATGACAAATAAGTAACGTATTACCGGTCCTTAGAATGGCCGGATTTAACGTACAAAGAATAGTCAAAAATACTAGCCGAGGTCAGGGAACACAGAAAGGGACACAGCGATGAGGAAAGCCAGGAGTCAGGATACCAGAATATAGAGAAGTCAATAAACAAAGCCAAAGTCAAAAACCAGGTAGAAAACTATAAACAGGAACGCACTCTCGGACAACCACAAGGGAAACCACGACAGGGCACTGAGCAGGCTGGGAACTGGGCCTAAATACCCCTCCTTTAGTTCTGATAGGCTGTAACCGGCCTTTGACCCCAAAGTCAATTACCAGGTTTCATTTGCATAATTGCTGCTCAGCATTAACCCTTCTGTGGATTAGGTTGCTGCTCGGCACAACTTTTCCTGTGTGGACAGTAAATGTCATTAACCACTTTTCTATAAGCGGATGAATACATGACACCAGGTTTCAGTTGCACAATTACTGCTCAGCATTAACCCTTCTGTGGATTAGATTGCTGCTCGGCACAACTTTTCCTGTGTGGATAGTAAATGTCATTAACCACATTTCTATAAGCGGATGAATACGTGACATTGTCCCAGTGACAGACACCACTAGTGGTGGACTTAGGCAGCATTGTAAACACTGCCTTTTCTTTTCTATGCTGAACCTGCCGGGACAAGCTATATGTCCCAAAATCTCTACATTAAAGTCACTTAAACAACTTTAGCTTAATGAAGCAGTTTTTGTGTGTAGATCATGTCTCTCAGGTTTCACTTCTCAATTCACTGCCATTAAGGAGTAAAATCACTTTGTTTCTGTTTATGCAGCTGTAACGGATCACTTCTACTCCGACCGAGTACCTTCCATTGATGGACGCTCCCTAGCTGCACCGAGGACCATAAGCACCGCACCGGACACCACAACCACCGCAGACTCCACAACCGCCGTAGCTTAACTAGAGTCTCGCCGTCTTCCTTCCACCCTGGATCAGCCACTGTCCTCCAGGACTGTGTTGGAAAGACCTCTCTTTCAGGAGAGCATATCAGGAACAGCTCTTAAAAGAGATAAGTGATTAGAGCTCTGGGAAGTATACAAAGTATAGCAATCCCCAGTGTGATTATAGCAGTTCCCCTATAATCACGAGACAAGACTACGTGTTGAGGGTCAAACAGGAACAGAATGAACTGAGGGTTTATTGTCTCTTTTATACAAGTTTTCCCACAAGGTTACCACCCATGTCCTCCTACAGGACACAAAGTTACAAACCCAATCAAAACACTCTTGTACAGTTAGGCACTCCCAGATAATGTACACAAACCCTCCCCTCTGCCTGTGATACAATTACCAAACACAATGGACTAACTCAATTACCCACAGGCAGAAAACAACAATTTTTCACAAAACACAGAAAACACCCCAAAACACCACATATCCCCACAAAGCCCTAACCTGGTGAAAAACATATCCAAAAAGTTAAAAAGTTTGAATGACCTCAAGCATGGCTTTCATGCCCAAAACAGTTCCACAGATTTAGGCTGTGCGGCCGGTCTATCTTCTCCTCTATCCTGGAGATAATTGGCTTAAGTGGCTGAGGTAAGCTAATTATCTCCAGTAACAGGAAATATCTCTAAGTCCAAAAACTGTTACACAAAAAAACACATAAAAATACATATTTATTTATTTATAAAATATTTTACCAGGAAAGATACATTGAGATTTCTCTTGTTTTCAAGTATATCTCTTATAATACAATGTTTAACCTATATGTCCAACATTTAGCCCAGATAGCTTGGATCTGAGCGCTCAATATGTGCAAAAAGCGCTCAGATCTCCGAATACAGTTGGATCGCCATGGGGTTAAACAATAGCAAGGGCTGATGAGAGATTGAGGAGGGACAAAGCAGCCAGTTCCAACTGGTCTGGCAGTGTCCCTGGGACAAAGCCCTGCTGTAGAACAATGGACAGGAAAAGGGGGAGGCACATTTTCCCATGGATATAAAGGGGAAGAAAAAGTGTTTTAAAATCCAAAGAGTCACAGGGGCCATAATCACAGGGCAAAAGGCTAGCCATTAGTCCTCTCCAAGAACAAGTGGCGAATGGCACTTCATCACAGCAGCTCTTGTCACACCTCCCCTGGCTGTGACTGACACAGCCTGCATGAAAAAAAAAATGGTTTAAATTTCAATCAGATGTACTTTACCTTAAACAATTTTATCTCTTGCTCTGTAAATTAAACTTTAATCACATATAGGAGGCTCTTGCAGGGTCTAGCAAGCTATTAACATAGCTGGGGATAAGAAAATCTAAATTAAACAGAACTTGCAATAAAGGAAGGATAAATTGTAGATGACTCTTTAGAAGAATTGTTTAAGGAGGCTGTGCAAGTCACATGCAGGCAGGTGTGACTAGGGTTCATAAACAAAGTGATTTAACTCCTAAATGGCAGAGAATTGAGCAGTGAGACTGCAGGGGCACGATTTATACACCAAAACAGCTTCATTAAGCTAAAGTTGTTTTGGTGACTATAGTGTCCCTTTAAGCTGCAATGCTTATGGTGACTATAGTGTCCCTTTGATTTTAGAGTTATAAGTGTGGTGATGGTGGCCAGGGATTCGCCTGAGAAATTTTAGATAACGTACTAGTAAGACTTTATGCAGCTAAAATGAAATTCAGAACAAAATCAACATATCTTCCTTACACAGACTGATTTCTAAACACATTTAATGTACATAATACATAATATAACATAATAATATTAAAGGACCACTATAGTGCCAGGAAAACAAACGTAAGTGGCAAAACCCCTTGAGCCACTTACCTTTCTCCAGCGCCGGGCTCCCTCGGCGTTGGAGAACTCTCCTCCCTCTGCTGACGTCAACTGCGAATGCACATTACTCAATGCTTTCCTATGGACGTCCAGCGTCTTCTCACTGTGATTTTCAAAACTAGAGGGACCTGGCACCCAGACCACTTCATTAAGCTGAAGGGGTTTGGGTGCCTATAGTGGTCCTTTAATCAAATAGGTGTATTATTGTTGTGGAGCTCTGTTATACACTCAGACACACTGACAATTAGGATCTCTTAGGAAAGAGGAAAATAATTATAGAAAAGGCAGCGGCACAGTGGCGTATACACAATCCATGAGGCCCTGGTGCGAAAACTGATCCGTGGCCCCCCCCGGCGGTTACACCACGCATGCTGGAAACATGGCGGCTGCAGGGGTCCGCAGGGCGGCTGGGCCCACTGGAGTGACGTGCCCTGCATGTACGCCACTAGTGATGTCTCGAACCGTTCGCGAACTTGCCGCGAACGGTTCGCCGCGGTTCGCGGCGAACTCCGGTCAGCTGACACATCCCTGCCAATCTCCGGCAGACCCTCCCTCCCAGACAGCATCCATGTTGAAGCTGCCTTCAACATGGATGCTGTCCAGGAAGTAGGAGGGTCTTGGAGGGAGGGTCTGCCGGAGATTTGGCAGGGATGTGTCAGCTGACCGGAGTTCGCGAACGGTTCGCGACATCACTATACGCCACTATACACACACACACACATACAGTGGCTTACCCACCCCACGGATCAGTTTTCGCACCGTCGCCCCATGGATTGTGTGTATGCCACTGGCTGGGAGGCGTATTTATCTCATGCAGATCAGGAGAGCTAACAATGTTTCATTGTGTTTGGAATGCCTCTTTAACAAAAAACCCTTATTAGTATTTGCACATCAGAGTATTTTTCATCAGTTGCAAAAATGTTTTAAAATAAAATACACAGTCTCTAGGTGCTCTCATTGGGGCATGTTTATAAAGCATGAGAAATAAAAAGTGCAAGTGACTCAGTCTGCATAATATTTCCATGGTTACAGAGCTCAAGAGGATGCTTCATTCTGCCTCTTTTCCTTTAATAAAATACATAAACTAACACAGACTGCCCGGGTTTACCCAGTACCAGTCAACACATCTCACTGAAGGAAGCAAAGCCTGCAGAGCGCCGATTCTAGATCTAGAAAACCTAATTCACTGGGTCCAGCGGACTACATTTCCCGGCATGCATTTCGCGCATACGCAAGCATCCAAGATGGCGGAGACTTCAGTCGCTGTTACTGGTTCGGGAAGCAGTGGACCGGTAACATGTAGCCATTGGTTAACTGGGGTGGGCCGGGTGCACGATAAACCCTCATGACATCCTGGGACCCCACCGTTAATACTAGTGTAGCCTGGGGTGGAAATTGTACGACTTTTAGGTTCGGTGCCCTAGAAATGCATGGGGGTCTCGGTCACGTGGCAGGAAGTCTGTACCCGATTGGCTGAGACCGACCCCCATCACAGTTTATGGGGTGAAAATCTAACCTGGGAGAAATGTGAATTGAAACCAATAATAGTGCATATATAGGGTTACTGGATATTATGTATGTAATCTCCATTCCATAAACACGCTACTTTGGCCACTTTATAGACATGTGCTGCTTCTAAAGGGCCTTTTGTAAATACATTTGTCATGTTAGTCTATGGCAAGAAAACAAATATATACCATGCACTCAGATCCTTTAATCAGTCAGTTGTGTGAATTGCTTAGATTATTAGATTTGAGCACCATTCCAATAAATCACTTTGAAAAATACATGCACTACAGGGTTTGCTTTATTGGTAATATATTTTTATTTTATTAAATGTGTGTGTTTAAGATATGTGAATGGGTTCATAAGTATTAAAACTCTGTTCCCATGTGCCTAATGTCTATTCTGTGCATAAATGTATTTCTGTTGTCAGAAAGCATTACATACAGACGTAGAAGTCTTCCCCTCGCAGAGCTCCTGCAAGGCGGAGATAGGTCTCCCCAACCACCCTCCATCCCACTAAGTGAACCCTCCCACTTCCCTCTGTGCATGTTAGTGGCTTTTTTTTTGGTACAAAACTTCTCTTCCAACTACCCACTCCCTGCCCATGTATGTATGTGCTCCGTGCTGGCAATTGGTCCAATCTCAGGATTCTGTATGAGAAGCCTGTGATTGGACTGTGCGCGCCCCCACTGATGTCAAAAGCTGGAGCTGGATTAAAAGTGAGTAAAACATTTTTATTTCAGGTTTTTACTGCACATTGAGAGAGGCGGCCTTCCCCATATTACCCAGCAGGACATATAATGCCGGAAAGGTGCCCCCTCTCAAATGGGTTATAGTAACCCTTGAAAGGGATGCTCATAGCAGAAAGTCAGTGTCCCTGCACACTGTTGTGTATAACTGCAACAGTTTGAAATAATGTTGCAGCTGTGAGACTGACCCCTCAACATTTGATATTAGTGGGAGAATTTATACTTTTTTCATCCAAATTGTTTGTACAGTGTGCGCTTGTGTGTTAGTGGACAGCATCTCAGAAGCACTGTGCATTGGCCCATTCACAAAACTGTGTACAGTGCAGCATGGCTGCTATTAGCTTGTTTTATGCCCTGTGTGAATATGCTATATACTTATGACAAGGGCAATAGGAAAGAGATAAGAATAAGGGGAAGAGTATGAGAGAAGGGTGAGGGTAGGGAAGGTCCAGAAAAGTTAACTTTGGAGGAGAGGAGATTAACTGGCAGTTGGAATGAAGGTCCCCTGAATCCCTCCCAGCGGTAATAAATAGGGAACAAAGTAGGATGATAGAATAACCCCACAAGGAATATTTGCTCAAAATGTACAAAAAATGTGAGGTAAGCATTGCTGTTACTACAGATCAGCAATAATAAGACATAGAGGCAAAATTGAGAGTAATGTGGCTAAGGAATTGTGGGAGATAGAAGTGTAATTGTGCCATGGTAGAAGTAGGTCATTATAGAGAAAAAGGAACTTCATAAGGATCCATCAACAGCATTAGGCCCAAGCATTGTAGCCTGATGTGTCCCTTTAAACATTTTGTGTCTCTCTGTACTATTCTAATACCTGTTTTACAATATATAAAATAGATACAAATACACCTGTGTGCAGGTAGAAAACACACTTAGTGGGTAATAGGTAAGAACACACAACAATTACCCTTAATCAATAGTGAAGTAGATGAAAGGACTCCTCATATGTCCTCAAAACAATATTGATATACTACCAGAAGGCAATCTACAACACAAAAATAATAGAGACAGACATAGAGCAGTAACGCAATATAATGGGGATTATAGAGGTAAATAATTACACTCACAGACCCAATTTGATTGAAGGCATATCATAAATAACGATGTGTATACTTCAGGACTTGTGGAACGTCAATACGATGCATAGGAGGAAGAAAAGAAATAATAGTGCAGAGTATCTTAAGTAAAAATGACACAATTTATTACAAGATACACTTACAAAAAAGACATATCAAAAAGGCACATCAAGCTCTGCTGGAACTACAACCCAATCACAGGATCGAATGAGCAGGGAAGTCAAATAAAATAAACTTAAAAATATTTTTTAAAAAAAATACTCCGCACATAAAAAAATTTGTTTTTTTTAATATTTTTAAGTTTATTTTATTTGGCTTCCCTGCTCATTCGATCCTGTGATTGGGTTGTAGTTCCAGCAGAGCTTGATGTGCCTTTTTGATTCGTCTTTTTTGTAAGTGTATCTTGTAATAAATTGTGTCGTTTTTACTTAAGATACTCTGCACTATTATTTATTTTCTTCCTCCTATGCATCGTATTGACGTTCCACAAGTCCTGAAGTATACACATTGTTATTTATAATATGCCTTCAATCAAATTGGGTCTGTGAGTGTAATTATTTACCTCTATAATCCCCATTATATTGCGTTACTGCTCTATGTCCGTCTCTATTATTTTTGTGTTGTAGATTGCCTTCTGGTAGTATATTAATACCTGTTTTAAGTCATAATTACATGTTTATTATATGGTGTATATGTGAGTATACATATATAGAAATATATTTTATTGGTAAACAAGTAACATTTTAAGCACTTGAGTACAATTATAATTCAATTTACAGTACTACTTTATTTTTACATTTGTTTTTAGAGGTCTGGCGTTCGCGGTGCCTCCACCCCTGCTGATAACTATCAACTAGCACGAAGACGCACTCTACAGGTTGTGGTTAGCTCTTTACTTACAGAGGCTGGCTTTGAGAGTGCAGAGAAAGCAGCTGTGGAGACTCTAACTGAGATGTTACAGAGCTGTGAGTCATGTTATAATATATTGCCTTATTTAGTTTTGTTGGTCCACACATTTCTGTTGTGTTATTTTGCAGTGCAAATATATGTGGTTACCTAAGTTGTTTGGCTCAAGCTGATCTAGTCACTTGGGACATATGTAATGCCACAATAGTTTTTTCTTTAAAGGTTTCTCCAGCCATCATGACCTCTCTTGCTTTTAGAAGTAGTCATGGTAATAGGAGTCTGGATGTGCAGTGTTTCTGCTTGCAACACTGCACATACTGAGATATTGGCACTAGTGTTCATGGGGCTATTTAAACCAGCGCACATGTGACTTTGGAAGACAGGAACTCCGGGCATATTTTATGTCCATCATCAGTGTGCACTGCACACTGGCAATGAACCCATTGAGCTTCTTGCTTGTTGACTGCAGCCCTTCCATCTCTCAATAAGTCTAGGGTTTTTTATTTATTTAAATTCTTCTACCTCCCTCTTTGGATCTCCTCTCCAATATTGTCTAAATCAATAAATCTCAAACAGAATAATAGGACATGATTTAAATAAGGAGACTGTAAATGTTGTATTTTAGAATCTTTGTTTTGTCATCTGTCAGATCTGTCGGAGATTGGACGCAGTGCAAAGTCCTATTATGAACACACAGCAAGAACACAGCCCACACTGCCAGACGTTGTAGTGACTCTCATAGAAATGGGTGAGTCCTTGGATAAGGAATGATGTACTGTTAGTTGACTGTGTATGAGACATGAGGGTAGCTTTTTCCTGTAGTAGTACCGTGACTAAGACAAAACATTATTCCCAGAAAGAATAAAAAAAATGACATCAGGACATTGTTGTTATTGAAAGTTTGGTGGCTTTAGTTATATGCCTTTTAAAGAAATTTCTCTGAGTGGTACAGCTCTGAAAGTTTAAAACAAACTGAAAAAAGTCTTTATGGTGACAAAACCAAGCCATTTAAATTGAATGTCTTTTTGTCATGGAGGAAACGGAAGAGTGTAGTTATATTATATTCCTCTATTAACTGATTTAAAGCTGTATTTATTTTTTAACAAGAACGCACTAAACAGACATCGCTCTAGTAAATGCAATGGTAAATTTAATCTGCAATCAATATACATTGAATGGACAGAGTAAAATAGTTCATTGATTGTCATCTTATTGTATCTTTTTCTTGCTGTTCCTTAATTCTTGTTTATTTCAGGATTTAATGTGGACACACTACCTGCTTATGCCAAGCGTTCACAGAGGATGGTGATAACTGCGCGTATGTCCAATTTGTTTAATCATGCATATATATTTTATGACTGTCCATGTTAGTTGTTATACCATGTGTGTTTTGTTTTAACGGATTTGTAGAATTAATAAGTAATCCGTTTATGGGCACATATACATAATTAAGACAAATCATTTGCCCTCTGTCTGATTTTCTGCATTGTTGCACTTGTGACATTTAAAGGCTTTTTCCAAGCACCATGACCACTTGACTGATTTGATGTGGTCGTGGTTTTTGGAGTCTTTGTTTGCATGTGTGCAGCATTTCAGTTTAAAATGCTGCACATACAGATATGTAGCCCTTTGCTGCTGGAGGTGTAGCATCACTAGGGTGACCAGAAGTCCACACGATTTGCCGCCTAAGTCCTCTCCTTAACCTGTCCATCTGGAAATTTTTCCTCCTCCAACTAGTGATGGGATGTGATGTCACAGAAGGAGGATCGGACTGCAGGGAAAATCGATATGTATACATATATGCTCCTGGCTGTAAAGCAATAATCTCTCCAAGAGCATTGGGCAAGGTCAATTTGCAAGTTATAATGAACCCAATGCAATATCTAAGGATCTTCTGACATCTCTGTTTCAGCTGAGGTCAAAATTCCTAATTTTAACAGAAAGGCATTGGGATTCCTAGCAAGGTAGAAAGGGAAAGATCACTGCTCAAATAAGAACATTATCCCCTTAAGGACACATTACGGAAATATTCCGTCATGATTCCCTTTTATTCCAGAAGTTGTGTCCTTAAGGGGTTAATAATTCTCTTGAAGTTTTCAGACAGCACCTGGGCAGGCACTCAGTCACAATTCAGGGATTTTTGTATGGTTTGCTCTGAGAACGTGAACAATTTTCCTTGATGAATGAATCATGGCTTCTGGTTTGTGCTAGAGGACATCATTTCATAATCCCTGGCTAACCCCTATGTGGAGATGTGGCTGATGCTGAATTTACCTATTAGTGCTAAAAAAACAGCCACAAATTAGAACAGTGCATAAATTCCTCCACAGCACACACATAGGTTTGATTACAAATTACAGGTAGCTGTTGGCCCAAGTATCTAGCCTGTTTTTCAGTTAAAGTGATTACTTTTTTCACGTGGACATATCATAGCTTCCTTTTTATAAATAAGTGAAAAAATTGTAAAAATCCCACAAGATTTTGTTTAAAGGTAACATTTGATGTAAAAAATATACAACAGTGCAATAAAAAAAGACAGTTTGGCAAATACCTTTTCATGGCAGGTATCTTACACATATTTGCATTTACTGGTGTAGGAGTTGCCTAAAGGTATTGCTCAAGCTTTTCACAACTTCCATGCTGTTTATTAATTGTATGTCTAGCTGAGCATCATTATAGTTTTAGTTCAAGGACAGTAGAAATCTTCCATGTCGGCTGCATCCTGTTTTAATTTAATGGTCATGTTTGAGAAATCCAGGGTACCAGGTCACCACAGTGATACAGAAATACGTTTTGTCTCCCTGACTATTCCCATGATCATCAAATGAGTGGGATGTCTCTGCGGACTGCAATAACAGAGACAATTCTGTGTCCCATGTGTAATTTAACAATGCTGTAAATAAGGATGCAGGGAAAACCGAAACGGTTTGTTGTCACCGCATTCAGAAAAGCAGGGTTGTTTGTATTATTTTTTTTTTTAAATTTTTCCCTTCCCTACTGCTCTTGTTAATGATCTGTCTAGTATATTGCTACTGTGTGAACTCTGCTCACACCACAGCAGCAGTAGAAAATGTTGCTTATATGTACCTTCTGCCTACCCATATCTCAATCTGGAATGCACAATGTCAGTGAGTGATGTTTGTGACACTAGCTGGTATTGATAGGCGGTGGTCATGCTGTTCCATGTGCAGTTGGAGAGGTTAACCAAAAAAAAATAAACTTCTAAATATTTCTGCTTTGTATAAAATTTTTTGTCAACCCTTGATTAATATCCATATTTACGTTTTGTGTATTTGTGTCCCAGGACTGCTCATTTCAAATACTTTGCTGTGCAGATATACATTATCTGATTGTGTATGCTTACCTAAGTGGTTTGCTTCTGTGCTTTACAGCCCCTGTGACTAATCATCCAGTAGCGCCTAAAGCGCTGAGTGCAGGGCAAAACAAGCCTCATCCTGCTCACATTCCAGGTCACCTCCCAGAATTTCCTGATCCTCACACTTACATCAAGACTCCGGTGAGAAAATCAACTTAAATGCTAATCCGTTACCTCTGGGAAGCTAAGACAAAAGCATAGCAAAATATGCTTCACATTGCTATGCTTGTATTGGAGCGTTCCCAAAACTCACCAATTATTTTTCCCTTTTCTATACATAGACGTGCCGAGAGCCAGTGTGTGATTACCAGGTGCTGCGTGAGAAGGCAGCATCACAGCGTAGAGATGTGGAGAGAGCACTTACTCGATTTATGGCTAAAACAGGGGAGACTCAGAGTCTTTTCAAGGATGATACCAGCACTTTCCCACGTGAGTGACGTTTACTTTCCAAATAACAGAAATAATTTTTCAGTCTATTTTCTTCATTGTCATTTCAACAATATCTCTAATCAATCCATTTTTGGTTAATTATTTATATATATATATATATATATATATATATATATATATATATATATATATATATATATATATATATATATATATATATATATATATATATATATTGATAACCATAATGTACCCTTAGGAGTTCTTTAGTTCTGCTTACTTGTCTGTTGCACACAGTAACCATAAATTAAGTACATTTTATCTTACAGTAATGACTTTTGTTCTCAATCAAGGATTTTTAAATTGCTCCTGGTATGTACCACCTCTTTCTTTTTCTCTTTTAGTAATTGCAGCCCGTCCTCTTTCCATTCCATATCTGAATGCCCTCTTGCCTTCGGAGCTGGAGCTGCAGCAGGTAGAAGAGACTGATTCATCAGAACAGGATGACCAGACTGATACAGAAAATCTGTCTATGCATATGCAAACGGTAAGAGATCAGGTTCCATTTTTTTTAGAATATAGTAGATATACCCTCAATAAAACATGCAAGTATTCTTTCCTGCATGTTTTCCTTGGGCTATAAGAAAATCTGTTTGCAAAAGCTCCAGACCTGTTGTCTGTACACTTTGCAAGACCTCCCCTCTTTCCCCGGGGAATTTGCCACATGCACGCAATTGCTGCTTTCCTATGTTTCTGAGTGAGCTGTAGATCTGTGGAATGAACAGGAATGCTTTTCAGATACATTGTATGAAACTGTTGATTTCTGTTGAAATTGACTTTTCTAAAGTGTCATAAATATACAGACAATGCAAGCTAAGTGCATTTTGTGTCTGGAGTATTCATGTAACAATGTTTCTTGTTAACATAAACCACATTCATAGTTTGTTTTTCTTGTTTGGGCCCAATAACGACAACAAATAGAAAAGAGTCAGTGCCCACTATTTCTTTGCTCTACTTACCATACTCATGAATGTATGATGACTCTGTTACCACAGTCCAATAATTAAAAACACAACTATGAGAGGATGGTCCAGCACACCACAATAATGAAAAAAAAAATACCACTCCAAATAAGTGAGATCCCAAAATACTCTCAACCTACATTAAAGGAAATCTAATGACCATAACCACTACAACTTGCTTTAGGGCTCATTGAACTAGGAGTGCTACCTTCTAGGTCAAACCATTTGTGAACAGTGTAACATTTTATATGGGGTCTGCCAGGCACTGCTCATTACCTCTGCTTGCAATATACCACTGAAAAGTGATCAGTTAACACTCTCACATAATGAGCTCAGGAGAACTAGTGGAAGTTTCTCCTTAAAACTTTCATCTCTCCAACGATAGATGTGAAGACAAGGAGTGACTCCTGGTGGACCCCAGTTAAGACGTCAAACCATTATAAAACGCCAGGGCGCTTGTAGTGTTCCTTTAACCCCTTAAGGACACGTGACATGTCATGATTCCCTTTTATTCCAGAAGTTTGGTCCTTAAGGGGTTAAAGTCTTTCGTTAAGCTTGATGAGCTTACTCTAAGACAAAATGTTACTAGTTATTGTGGGATCACAATAAATTTTTATTTAAAAAAAAATAAAAACATTTATTACTGTGGCGTACTCGACCTTCCTTTCGCAGTGACATTTTCAAGAATCTTCTCTTTCGTTCTTTTAATCTATCCACTAATGCAAATGTTGGAATAAAAATAAGTCTCACAGAAGGAATGTTATTGATGAATTTTGATTTAGCCTTCACTGGATTTAGCATTGTTAAAAGATTTTATCCTGTGTCCTTTTTATAGGTCTTTCGTTCTGATCTGACTGTCCACTTACCTTTTAAATATTTCTATTAAAAAAATAAAACACTACAAACACACCATATTCGTAAATACTTTAGCCCTTTCCCACTTATATAGAGTATACACCAGAGTGTGAATTTACAAAAATTCTAAGTAAATCTCATATTTTAGGTCTAAACGGCTAAATAACACATTGGTGACTTGGAGGATTTTCCACTGTGGCCAAAAGTTTAAAATTTGAAACATACTGGACATTTTACATCTTGGTTTTCATAAGCGTTATTTGTGGGTAGGTTTAGGGGCTTAAGCTTCAGATCTCCTCACGTGGCAAAATAGTATTGTTTTTATCAAAGTAGTTAATCAAAGTGTGTGTGTGTGTGTGTACACAAAATGCTAACAAAATACATTTTTAACCACAAAATTTGACATAACGTGCTGACATTTTTCATCAGTTTAAGGCATAATATACATCATATGAGTTACACTGGGGTATCTAATTTTGCAAATGGTAGGCCTTTGAGGAGTAATTTGAATAGTCAAACAGCTACAACGACATAAAATGAGACATAGGCCGATCAGATCCATCTATCAAAATTCTAACTGTAAAGACTGAAATAGTCAGGTCTATTGTATGGTGCTGTAACTTTACAGGATAGTGGCAAATGCATACATTGGGGGTATGGTTGTACTAAGAAGATATAGCTCAATACAGTACAGACACTTCTCACTTACGGACAGAGTTCCGTTCCTATGACTCGATCATAAAAGGAATTTGGTTGGTAAGTGAGGATGCACTAGAGAGAAAGTCTATGTTTGGGGAAATTCCCCCAAACATAGTGAACTGGTCTATGATCAGGTGAAATTCCCCTAACCTAGACTAGCTCTCTAACATGGGGAATCCCTCAAATATATGTTTGGGAGAATTCCCAAGACTCAGATTCAGGGGATTCTCTGCGCTAGAGAGCTGGTCGTATGTCCGAGCAGTCGTTAAACAGGTAAGTCGCTAAGTGAGGACTACCTGTATGGGGTTTTGTACAGTAGTAGCACACTTCAGACTTTGTTAAATGTGTGTGTGTGTTAAAAATCAGAAAAAAAATACTAAAATATTTAGCAGAGATTGGCAGTTACATGACTTTATAAAAGTGTCTACATACCCATCTGGAAATAGCCTGTTATGTCTACTTTATATAATTACTTTTGGTTAATGGATTTTTTTTTCTGTGATGGCTACTAAGCTTAAAGACAAATATAGCAAATTTTAAAAACTCTCCACTTTTAAATGTTATTTTACTCCTTGTATTGTGTGACATGTAACTACCAAAAATAAACTATAATCCTAGACATATTATGTACTCTGTAAATCAGGACAAATAAATGAATTCATTTTAAATACTTTTCCTAATTGCTTTGGTCCAAAATTGCTTTGGACCCTAAATGAAAACAAATAAATGTAGCTTGGTCCATAAGGGGTTACTGTAACTTATTTATTTATACATTCTATCACTTATTATATATTACTCTTCATTTCTCTCTCAGGATGATTCAGGCACAGAGAAGGAAAATGCATCTGTTCTGCAACAGAATTCACTTAAGGGGGGAGAGGATACACTAATAGATAATCCCTACCTGCGGCCGGTGAAAAAACCCAAATTGAGGCGCAAGAAGTAAAGTCATGGAATGAAATCTCACTTGCTTGGACAATGAAGTGACTTGCTGGGAGGAAGGTCCTCACCCATCACACCACTTGAAACTTTGGTGGACAGCTAATGAATATTGAATGTTTATATTTTAAGGATGGCCACATTGTGCTGCAGTGGGAACTGAGCTATACATATGACTGCAGTTGAAGCCATGTATAATTTGAACATCCAGGTTGAAGACTTTTAATGTTGTTGCCTCTTTGGAACATACCCCAGACATTATCATAATTATCTTTCTCCCTGTGGGAAGATCCTCATGTTTGTTTTCATTATTTGTCCTGGGACCAGGGCACAATGTGTATCATCATGAATTTCATAATAAAAAAAACAAAACACTTTTTATCTAATTTACATTTTTAAGTAAAATATGTGAATTGGCTTCTCTGTAACCAAAGTACTATAAAATGTAATTGGCATTAATCCAGGCACTTTAACAATTTAAACAGAATAAAGGTGCTGTGAGGAAGTCCCCAGACACTTTAAACTGTTAATAAGTGATCTAATCCCTAAAAGTGTTGAATCCAGTGCCTAGCCTCTCTGCCTACGAACATCCGACTCAGTCCAAGGCTTGAATCAGAAAAACTTTGGACGGGAGTGCCACTGGTAGTCTGAGACCTTTTTTCAAGCCGTTTTGGTACTGGGAAGCTACTAATAGGCCGAGAGCATCAAATGTCACTCTCCCCCTATCAGTGTCTCTGTCTTGGGCTTCCTAATTGAAGCCTGAGGCAGATGTTTGTGAGGTAAACTGGCATTTGGGGACCAACGTGAACCATAACAACTTAATTCCAATTAAGCTGTTATGGTGCTCAGAGTATTTCTTTAAGGGAACTCCATCATTAAAGAGATACTCCATTATTTATGAAGCAAAAGTTGTTTAAAAACTATTCAGAATCCTGCATCTTCCCCACAAATAAGAGTTAACTTACCTTTGATTCAGTGGCAAGAAGGTCCTTCACTGCAACTCCATTCCACTTATAAGAAATTATCACTACTGGTGATGTCCTGGCTAATTTAATGATTTCTATAGGCACATGGGTGGCAATTGCCACACTGCAGCAATGCTTCTGCCAGGGCAGTCTGTTTAAAACCAGGATTTTGATAAAGTAAGAGAGGATTGCCTGTTACACATTGTTTTGTGTCAGGCTGACAAGGAATATTATGTAATGAAATTGGAGATATTTATATGTTAGTTTTTTCAGCAAGTGACCAAGCATTTCTTTCTAGCACAGCCAATAGGAGATTTATAGAATAAATACATTAAATAGACAGAGCATATTCACTGCTAGTTCATTTTTTCAGCTTTCCAGCACTGACTAGTTGGTTTATGTGTAAATTTTGTTCTCTTGTGTGGAGGTAGATTGCCAGTAGGAAAGTTGTCCAATACATCTTAGGAAAAGCTACTATTTCCTGATACTGATGTAGAGTTAGCTTCTGGTTTTCATGAGAATTTGAGAATGGTGTCAACATGTCTTACGAGTTCATTTTTTTTTTGGAATGCAGAAATAAAATAGACAACAAAATAGTACAGTAAGTATTTTCACTGTTTTGCAAAGTTTATTTTTCTACAAATGTATATTTAGTTAAATAAGGTAGCTGTTATGGTGTTAACCACATTTCTTCTTATCGTGTCTTTAAAGGGATTCTCCAGTGCCAGGAAAACAAAGCCATTTTCCTGGCACTGTAGAATCCTGGAGTGCCCCCCTCCCTCCTGTCCCCCATCCCACTTACCAGAATCCAGCGCTGAGGTCCCTCGGCGCTGGGTCAGGCTCCGCCCACGCGCCTTCGTCGGCGGGGGAGACCTAACTGCAATAGCTGCGCGCACATTAGAGCTCCCCGGAGGAAAGCATTATTCAATGCTTTCCTATGGGGAAAATCTGACGCTGGAGGTCTGTGAGGACGTCCAGCATCAGATAACGGACCAAAAGTCCATTTGGATTCAGGAAGCGCCCCCAGTGGCTGTCTGGTAGACAGCCACTGAGAGCAGACTTAGAGCTGCAATGTAAACATTGCCCCCATCCCACTAAGTGCAAAAGGGTCACAGCACCCAGACCACTTAAATTAGCTGAAGTGGTTTGGGTGCCTACAGTATCCCTTTAAGACTTCCCAGTTATGCAGGTCTTCGGTTGTGAAACCTAGTCTCTTAGACCTAGTCTCCTTACTCGCTGTGTTACATATTTATGTTCTGTAACACTAATCTCGTAGTTGAGTGCTGGCTAAAAGAGCGGTGCCAGTTCTTCCCATTTGCCAGTCTTTCCTATCTACCTACAGCTGCTCCTCTCACCTTGCCAAAATCGCAGTTTTTATCTCCACCTTCTGTGCTGTTCACACACTGATTAATTAATAGTCCCACCTATATAAAGGCATCTTTATCTCCTGTTCGTTACTGTGATGGACAAAAACATGGGGAAGATGCTGCTTTGGGCGGGTGAGTACTATACTTACACTAGCTGCTGTTCTGTCTTCTCTTTCTATTTCCATAATTTCTCATTATTTTCTCTGTTCTATCAGAATGTACATAATGTTATATTAAGGGGCAGCTATCATAGAAACGTATTTGTCACGTAAATTTTTATTTCAAAAGTTTTTAGCTATGAATGACATGGGAAAATCAGTAGCAGTAATTGGGATGGTCTGTGCATTAGAGATAGTTGAAGGCTGAGTTGTACCTTTTCTGTTTTTGTGAAAACAATATAATGGGTACCATCATTCTCTTCACAGGTTTGTTCCTGTTGCTGAATGTACAGCTGGGTAAGAAGTCGTGTTGCATGACAAATACACATGTAAAGGGAGAGACCATGCATGGGTGCAAATAGTCATGGTCTATTGTAGGGGTAGGCAACCTATGCCCTCCAAATGTTGTGAACTACATCTTCCACAATGTTTTTTCCAGCATTATGACTGTAAGAGATGAGATGTGGTCCACAACATCTGGAGTGCCGAAGGTTGCCTACACCTGGTCTATTGTCTAATCCAAAAACATTAGCCTTACTAAGATCCAGTGTCAAGCAAAGGAATATTGCAAACATCAAGATGCAAATTCATTGTCAAATTTACCATTTGTCAGACCTCTCTGAATTCATTTTTGGAGAATTCCAGCTATAGTAAAGGGGCATCCCAAGCACCATAACAACTGCAGCTTATTGTAATGAATAAGATATAAGGAGGCTTTGAATGTCTTGGGGTCCTGAAGAGATTGCATCCATAGCCTTTTTGCAAAGTAAGATTCTACAATAAGCTGTAATGGTTGTCTTGGAACATACCTTAAAATCTTTGTGGACTCTAGCTGACTGATTCTTCCAAGTAGACCATCAAAGATGTTCAGACTGCATTATGCATTGAACATATGCGGCCCATAATTGGAATGTTTCACAGAGTACTTTATAGACCAACCAAAATGACCTCTTAATCATGTTACAGATTATTGCCGTTTTAGATAAAAATATGGAAGAACAGATTTAGAAAGTAGAATGTAGTTTAGTTGATAACAAAATAAATTGTGGTATGACGTTTTAATAAAGAAAGTCTAACTATGGTAAGATTACAGATCAATGCATTTTCTTTAAATCAATGTCTCTAATTCAATATGTAAAATAGATACACTGATTTAATTCCCAGTGTTTTGGAGGATCAACTATAACATTATATTAGCTTGTGTCTCAAAGTTTAAATTAAGATTAAATATTGAGTTACAGAGATGGAGGATGTCTAAAAGAAGAGCCAAATAAGTAATGTGAGGTGGGTGATACAGGAAAGAAAAAATGAAGGAAATGAAGAGATGTAGGAGGGATTATTATTATTTTTTTATATATATATTTTGTGACTTATTTGTTTCAGGCTCTGCTTACAAGCTGGTATGTTATTTTACAAACTGGTCCCAGTATCGACCAGAACCTACAACATACCTGCCAGGGAACATTGACCCGCAGCTCTGCACGCACCTCATGTACGCCTTCGCCACCATGAGCAACAACAAGATTGCACCCTATGAATGGAATGACGAAGTGCTGTTCAACCAGTTCAACGCCTTGAAATCACAGTTAGTGATATGATCCAAACTCGTCTGCAAGCCGCATCAGATTCACTACCAACATATTTGTTGTTTAGAAAAAGTTCAGCATAGCTTTGATATGAAGCTTGTGATGGATGAGTAGCATTTAACCATAGGACAAACCAGCAATGTAGGGCATTGGTTTGTTAAAAAAGTTAAATAATGTTGATTAGCACAATTATACAGTCAGGTCCATAAATATTGGGATATCGACACAATTATAATCTTTTTGGCTCTATACACCAACACAATGTGTTTGAAATGAAACAAGTTGCTTTAACCGCAGACCTTCAGCTTTAATTTGAGGGTATTTACATCCAAATCAGGTAAACGGTGTAGGAATTACAACAGTTTGTATATGTGCCTACCACTTTTTAAGGGACCAAAAGTAATGGGACAGATTAACAGTCATAAATTAAACTTTCACTTTTTAATACATGGTTGCAAATCCTTTGCAGTCAATTACAGCCTGAAGTCTGGAACGAAGAGACATCACCAGATGCTGGGTTTCATCCCTGGTGATGCTCTGCCAGGCCTCTACTGCAACTTGGGGCATTTTCCCTTCAGTTTTGTCTTCATTAAGTGAAATGCATGCATCGGATTCAGGTCAGTATGCAGTATGCTTCGGGTCAATGTCCATCTGCACTGTGAAGTGCCGTCCAATGAGTTCTGAAGCATTTGGCTGAATATGAGCAGATAATATTGCCCGAAACACTTCAGAATTCATCCTGCTGCTTTTGTCAGCAGTCACATCATCAATAAATACAAGAGAACCCGTTCCATTGGCAGCCATACATGCCCACGCCATGAAACTACCACCACTATGCTTTGGATCATGAGCAGCTCCTTTCCTTCTCCATACTCTTCTCTTCCCATCACTCTGGTACAAGTTGATATTTGTCTCATCTGTCCATAGGATGTTGTTCCACAACTGTGAAGGCTTTTTTAGATGTTTGGCAAACTCTAATATGGCCTTCCTGTTTTTGAGGCTCACCAATGGTTTACATCTTGTGGTGAACCATTTGTATTAACTCTGGTGAAGTCTTCTCTTGATTGTTGACTTTGACACACATACACCTAACTCCTGGAGAGTGTTCTTGATCTGGCCAACTGTTGTGAAGGGTGTTTTCTTCACCAGGGAAAGAATTCTTAGATCATCCACCACAGTTGTTTTCCGTGGTCTTCCGGGTATTTTGGTGTTGCTGAGCTCACTGGTGCGGTCTTTCTTTTGAAGGATGTTCCAAACAGTTGATTTGGCCACACCTAATGTTTTGGCTATCTCTCTGATGGGTTTGTTTGTTTTTTCTTCAGCCTAATGATGGCTTGCTTCACTGATTGTGACAACTCTTTGGATCTCATATTGAGAGTTGACAGCAACAGATTCAAAATGCAAATAGCACACTTGAAATGAACTGTGGACCTTTTATCTGCTCCTTGTAAATGGGATAATGAGGAAATAACACACACCTGGCCATGGAATAGCTGAGCAGCCAATTGTCCCATAACTTTTGGTCCCTTGAAAAGTGGGAGGCACATATACAAACTGTTGTAATTCCTACACCGTTCACCTGATTTGGATGTAAATACCCTCAAATTAAAGCAAAAAGTCTGAAGTTAAAGCACATCTTGTTTATTTCATTTAAAATCCATTGTGGTGGTGTATCGAGCCAAAAAGATTATAATTGTGTCGATGTCCCAATATTTATGGACCTGACTGTAATTTTTCATTTATTTGTTAATCCTTTACAGACATCCTCAAAGGATAAAACACATATTGTATATATTATCTTGCAATAGTTCAAGTAGGGCGGGAAATATTAACCTATAAGCAATGATACATTTGGTCAAATACCCTGCCTAAAAGGACCACTCTAGGCACCCAGACCACTTCAGCTTAATGAAGTGGTCTGGATGCCAGGTCCAGCTAGGGTTAACCCATTTTTTTTATAAACATAGCAGTTTCAGAGGTTATCCTCATTGACAGCCGCTAGAGGCGCTTGCGTGCTTCTCACTATGAAAATCACAGTGAGAGCACGCAAGCGTCCATAGGAAAGCATTGTAAATGCTTTCCTATGCGACTGGCTGAATGCGCGCGCAGCTCTTGCCGCGCGTGCGCATTCAGCCGAATGGGCGGAGAGGAGGAGGATCGGAAGAGGAGAGCTCCCCGCCCAGCTCTGGAAAAAGGTAAGTTTTAACCCCTTTCCCCTTTCCAGAGCCGGGTGGGAGGGGGTCCCTGAGGGTGGGGGCACCCTCAGGGCACTATAGTGCCAGGAAAACGAGTATGTTTTCCTGGCACTATAGTGGTCCTTTAAGTGGTTTTTTAAAGAATCAAATGGATGTTTGGGAAAACAGTATCATGAAAATGACACCAAAATGTTAATAAATGGGCATAACGCCCACATATACTAGGTACAGTTACACTAACCTTCTGTGCTATACTGTGCACAGCATACTGGTATTGTTGCCTTAGATGAATCCATATAATGTACTCAGTGTATTTAGATTTCTCCCTGGTTGCTAGAATGTAACATTGAAGTGTGACCTACAAAAATTGCTGTAGAATAAGTAAAGGTGGTCTTTATTCCAACAATCTTAAATCACAGTTCTTTTAACATAAATGGGAAAGGTAAACTATACCATAGCTCAATTTCTCATATATCCTAATATGTCAATGGCAGGTTACTGTTTTTATTTATTTTCTCCCAGGAATTCGAAATTGGTTACACTGTTGGCAATAGGCGGATGGAATTTCGGGACAGAGAAGTAAGTAACACTGCTAATAACTAGTAGAGGTATCTTGCTCTAAAGAATTGCTGCCTCTCACTTCCTCTCTAATCTAGGTTCACAGTGATGGTGTCAACTGCTGCCAATCGCAAAACATTTATTGATTCTGTTATTGCATATCTCCGGCAATACGACTTTGATGGCATTGACCTAGACTTTGAATATCCTGGGTCGCGAGGTAGTCCCCCAGAGGACAAACAGCGATTTACCATCCTTACACAGGTAGGGAGCCGGAATTCTATAAACTACTTTATACTTTCAAATGTATGACAATGCAACTTAATTTCCTGTTCTAGAAAGTCTTGTGCTCCTGTTTTCCTTGCTATATAAAATTTATATACAGTACTTGGATGTTAACATTTACTGTAAGAATATGTAATTTATTTGTAGACACAGACAGGGTTATTCACTAA